TCACTGTCAACCACGAGTTCCTACTGCTTTCTTCAAGATGTTCCATTTATACTTTGTAATACAATGCACAGATCATACATCAAATACAAACTACATATACATTGTGTAGTACAGAGGTCTAGAGAGTGTACAGTGTACATATACATTGTGTAGTACAGAGGTCTAGAGAGTGTACAGTGTACATATACATTGTGTAGTACAGAGGTCTAGTACAGAGACCTAGAGAGTGTACATTGTAGCTGTACAGTGTACATATACAATGTGTAGTACAGAGGCTTAGAGAGTGTACATTTTAGCTACACAGTGTACATATACATTGTGTAGTACAGTGGACTAGAGAGTGTACATTGTAGTTGTACAGTGTACATATACATTGTGTATTACAGAGGCCTAGAGTGTGTACATTGTAACTGTACAGTGTACATATACATTGTGTAGTACAGAGGACTAGAGAGTGTACAATGTTGCTGTACAGTGTACATATACATTGTGTAGTACAGAGTTCTATAGAGTATACAGTGTACATATACATTGTGTATTAGGGAGGCCTAGAGTGTGTACATTGTAGCTGTACAGTGTACATATACAATGTGTAGTACAGAGGCCTAGAGAGTGTACAGTGTAACTCCACAGTGTATATGTATGTTGTGGCCTTACAAATGCACGGGTACAATTATATACATCTAAAAAATACCACTAAAAGTGTAGTGGTTATCAAGTTAGTTCCATACTGCAGTTGGATTAATTCACACATATATAATTGTTAACATACTCTTAATTCTGCCGAAGGTGTAGACTTTCCAGCTCCTCTCTGGTCAAAAAGAATAATTCTGTATGCTTTCGGGTCAAAATATCGTCTGTCTCGGGAAGAGGTGCCACCACCGGGGCCTCCATGACTATGAATATATATATAATCTGTATTTGCTTATTTCCAATATATCGTTCCAACATGGAAATACAAAAGGTCAAAGTACAAAGTGAAAGTAGATGTAACATCCGAGATACGTCCATTGACACACAATACTTACATGAATATAACAGGATTTCCATCGTTGTTTCCACTTTGTTCATAATAAATGTCGTGTATTTCCGATACTTTGAGTTTTCCAGAATCGAATGGTTCTATTTCTGGAAATAACCCTCTCTGTGTCGACATCGTATTATCGGTGTTGCTGCGAAATTGCCTTGTTTGATCACCAGCTGTGACACTCGGTCTCGTGAGACACTCGGTCAAAGGTTTCTGGCCGAAGCGGAGTATCGTCGAAGTCCGGCACACTTCAGATGTGGCAATATTTCGAGAAAGTCGATATCTAGATAACTTTCTAAGCAATCGGGAAGCAAGCATTAGCCCTCGTCTATGAAAAATATACATGTGGATATAATCATGTCAAGAGGTCAACCTAACGGCAACCCAGGAACGATTGGCACAGACAAGAGACAACACTCATTCGTATGGCGGTTGCAATACAAAGGGAGACAACTGATTATTACATAACCGGACTGTTCTGCTATGAAACACATCCATGTAGTATGTTTCGTATGGTATACGTGTCATAAAAGTATTTATCACTGTAGGCATAGTGTGACAAACTGAATTTTGAAGGGTGGGTTAAAGTATTTATATATCTATAAATAAATGAATAGAAGTGAATGACTTGGATCTCATATAGTTTGATATTTAAACAGTACTAAATGAAAAAAAGTATTCAAATCCAAACAACTACACTCTCTTTAACTTTGATTAGTCTACTTGTTCAAAACTCCACTCTGACTGCTGTATACAAATAAATATAGGATAATAACGAACAAGTGCAGTGTGAGCTCGGATTGGGAATTTTTATTCCAGTGTATGATTTGACATTTAATTGTTTGTGGAGTACATCGCCCATGAGCGGCCAGGTCAGAGGTCAATAACCGGTACCTCACCGAACAATGTACGGGAAGCCCGCTGCATGCAATCCAGGACAACTGGTATAAAGTGTCTTGTCCAAGGACAACATTAAAGACCGCACACAGACACGAGTAATGGGTGTCGGACTATGTAATTCACGTGAAGTCGCGTGTAAGTGAACACTTTACCGACTGACCTATCACGGCTCCTGTCATTGATTGTTATTTCAACACTGTTACATAAAACTATATATCAAAAAAGGCTTTTATTTGGTCGGAATCGTGGTCATCTTTAAATAGAATCGAGTCCGTGCCATATTGAATAAGTAAATTATCACACGGATGTCGATGTGATTTGGAATTTATTCAACGAGTTCAATAATTCTATATATCACGAACTTTTGGTGAGTGATATAACAAAGAAAGTTAAGAGGTTGATAAATTTCATATTACATGGACACGATTATAAGATTATCATATGACAAATATTTCTGGAATATAGGCGAAAATGTTTTTAGTTAATCTTCCTTTAAGACAAGTGTTTTTCACAACCGAGACATTCATTTTACGTTCTACAGACGTGACGTATCTATGACGTCACATTAGTGATTACACACTTGTCTTTCCCAAGAGTTCCTGTCTTCAATATTTCAAATTTATTTCATAACTTCATAATTGGTATCTAATCATTTTTTGATAAGATTTTATGTAAATAATTTGTTCATTGAGTTCTATTGAGATAAAGGTTCTATGCTAAAAGGAATGAGGGGAAGTAGGAGTTTCATATCTTGAATCTTTCGTGTACTAATTGTCAAGTGGGACGAACTTCAGCTTGTGATTCGGAAAAAGCAATACAAATGAACTGATTACAATTACAAATATTTATTTATATAACTATAAAACTCTAAATACACGGACATACTCACTTGCTCACTGAAACTCACTCCTCATATATACGTTATAAGGTATAGTCTGTAGTTCACATCTGCAGCGAAAAAAAAAACTACAGTTCCATGGCGGCCACCAACAACGTGGCACAGCTCAATCCAGAGCCACACAATAGATACACCGGATATCCATTCACTCTAAGCAAAGCATGCCTGAACTTCCCTTTGCTATCCAGTAAAGAATAAGGTACCGTAGTGTCCAATACACTACTAACTAACTAGGGCAGAGGTACCAACAGGTGTCCTTCCTAAGAACGTTCCGCAGATTCACAGCAGCTTCATGACTCCCATGACACAAGCCTGTGTGATGAAGAAAATGTGCATCACGCCTGATCCTGACTGGTTGCTGAGTCGGCTACTGCCGTCATATGAAGCTACAATAATTAATTAAATATAACAGTTACACTCACCACGCTCAGTTACTTTCTCATCTAACAAAAATAGCCTTAGTTCAGGAAATATCCTTAATAACACCAATTATTTTATCATCATGATTAGAAAACATTATAACTAAAACAATATGTCATTAAGTATCTTATAATAGTGTGCCGGTCCAAAATATACACAAATATTACGAAATCTAAAAGTTTTTACAATATGACACATCTAGGTTTCCATACTTTTTCCGCCCGACCGCGTACGCAGTACACTTACCTATGTCTAAATGGATCGGGGCTTCCATAAATTTACATATCGAACAAATGCAATGTATAAACAATTAAAGCAGAGCACATATAATTTAGTTAGGTTTAAATTAGCTAAATATACTAGTAATGCATATATTTTTGGTATATATACTTCAAAACATTAGAAAATGTAACATATTACCCCTGCATAAACATCAAACACAATCGTCACGCATGATTGGACCGCACCGATATCTAAATGGCTTGACCGGATAAATACATTGGTATATATAAATAATACCAAAACTAAATAATGAATAGAAATATAGAAACGGCAAACTTACCACAGTCTGTATTCTGTGCTTGGTTCACATATAAAAGACCTCAAAATATCGACTCAGGTAACGGACAATACCATGTCCACCCGTATTGTCCAAGGTCTAACTCGTTCCTTCCTGTCGATACAGTTCCGCATGACGTACTTCCGTCTTATACATTAAAGATACTCACCTTAATTACAATAATCAAAATAAATATCAAATAACTACTTGCGAACGTGACACTAATAGATAATTTAATTGTTAACCACACCTTGAAAATGAAGGAAGTTCGTATTTATACTATATTTCTGTGTGAATTCAAGGTAAGAGTAGAAAGTAACAGGATTTGTATTTTGAACATATCGTTTACCACACCAACTTCCTTAGCATACCTGAGGGAAAAAATAAAGAGTTTCCTGTTACATATTTTGTCTAATCACATTTTTTTCTATAATTATGATATTTTATCACAGGCTTTTGTTGGTAATATCAACAAATTATCACCATCTCTATATTTGTTTCACCATCACAGATCAACGTTAGTACCTGTAGATTCATTTCTAAGTGAAATACTTGATATGTTTCGTCACATATCTTCTAAATGAAATTATTAAAGCAGATATTCAGCACCTACAGAAGAATTTTACATCGACAAACTAGAAAAACCTTCTGCTAATCTCAGCAAAGACATTACGAGATAGCTCATCGCCGATACCTCCGCTTCTGGTAACGACATAAAGTTCTCTCATCAATTTTCGTGCCACACTAGTGTAACTGGAGAAACACTGAAAGGAGCCGCATAATTTCATCTAGAAAATCTTAATAAGTATCATGTTGATAGAGAGAATTATTACGCCCATATCTTTATGTAGCCATCTATTTTCTCTGTCCAATATTACAAGTACAAAAATGTCTGACATATATTAATCTTATCTTTCAAATTTAATTAAACAAAAACGTAAAAGAATTTTTTTTCAGCAATCCTTCTTCTTCAATTAAAAATGATGGGGCGAGTTTAAACGCCATTTTATAACCATTGGTATGAAGTAAAGCAATGTCAGACGAAATCCCACAACCTATGTGCACGTATTCCGGGTACAATATCTAAAGATCTTTTGTCTTCGGTCGATATATTTTCTTGGGTAGATAAATCTTATTATCGACCTCACAAACAAAAGGTTAAGGTTGTAGGATACCAAAAAAAGTAATAAATCAGATTAAAATTGTTCTGAAGTTTTAATAGTTTCATGTAGACCCGATACCGATGTGTGAAGTTTTGAGAAAGAGATTTTGTTGTTCATTGAAGTTAAATGAAGGATTATACTCGTTCAGATGACAGAAACACAATGGCGAGTGACGCTGATATTTCGACATCACAAAATGACCAAATTATTTGTTTAAATAAACATATACATGAAAATAAACAAATGTGCAATTGAAAGTAACTATATATAAATATATATACATATATATATATATATCATATGTTATGGACATGTAGGCTGCTTCATGGTAGCTAGGTCACATGTTTTTGTATTTGTCCGTGGCCTCTACAAGCTGATGAAGTACACCAGCTTCCTTTGTGGAATGTCCCGCATCAGGTATTACATGGAAGTCAGCTTCTGGCCATTTCTGTTCATCAGAAAATATATTTTGAAATAAACAAAAAATACAAAATAATTTCTAAAATATAAAACCCAAACTACAGTGATGATTCAATATGTGTAATAATTAAACAGACAAATAACATTAACTTACATTACATAATCTAATATTTTATTCCTATTACGTACTATAAGAAATTATTTTTTGGTTATTTTTCTGTATGTCAGTAAAGATCTACAGCTAGGAAGCTCAAACAGTATCATCTTAATGGATCATGAATCGAACTGTGATCCTTAGTTGTTGAATCTAAATATGCATTGTATCTAAAATGAAAACGTTAGGAAATTCCTACCTTATGAAGTAACCAGGCAGTTTCCATCGGACAAACAACATCATAACGCCCTTGAATTATGGTCGCTGGAATGTGACGAATTTTCTCCACATCGTCTAAAATTTGAGTATCGGTCTTGAACCATCCTCCATGTACAAAGTAATGACTATAAAAAACGGTAAAAACAAATATAATAAGGTTGTCTTTAATAAAATCCTTCATCTAATTAACGGCCTAAAACTTCACATATATACATAACATCTAATTTAATTTATGACCTGTACATTGTTTAGATTTTCGTTTTAGGTCAATCTCACACACGTTTTACTTGATGCAAAAATACGGCATCCGTAACATAATATATCTAGTAAACACCAACAGAATCCATATTTTGTAAAACATCTAAGAATGTCAACATATATTATGATCAACAAATATTACCAAACGATTCTTATTGAGACATTTTATAGTATATATCTAAATCAATATAGATATAATGAAACATCATGCTTTATTAGCATCAGGAGCCAACTGTCATAAAATAAGAAAACGATCACCACTTTAAAGAAGCTGAAATGAAAATTTAGAGATTGATGGTCAAGCCCTGTTACCTTTCAATCCTGGCGAACTGTTGTGACCATATGTCTCCCTCAGCTCTCTTTAATAGGTCATCATCCACTAACAAGCGGGATGTGGCCATTTCCCATTTACTCCAAGCCTTGGCTGCTTTGATGCGCTTTTCTTCATCATCACTGGTCAGATGTCTATAGTAAGCACCCATTAGATCTCCTCTTTCGCCCTGGTCAGATAGAAAACATGAATCCCGTGAAAAGCTGGTTTATGAGGATATTTTTCTTTATCTGAGGAGCTGGTACAATAGGACTTTTTTCTGTTTCTGATAGGACCTTTCTCTTTCTCTAAACAGCTGGTACATAAGAATTTATTTTATCTCTCAAGAGCTGGTTCATGAGGACTTTATCTCTCAAGAGGTGGCACATAAGGATTTTTTTTCGATCACTAAAGAGCTGGTGTATGATGACTTTTTCTATATCTCAAGAGCTGGTTCATAGGTATTTTTTTCGGTTTTATAAAGCAGTCACTGGGACTTTTTCTATGAGATGGTTCATGACAATGTAATCTATTCTAATAAATTGGTTTATGACAATGAAATCTGATCATATGAGCTGGTTCATGACAACATATTATTTCCCTAATGAGCTGGGTCATGACAACATAATATATTCTATTGAGCTGGTTCATTACAATGTAATATATTCTAATAAAGTGATTCATGACAACATAACCTATTCTAATGAAATGGTTCATGACAACATGATCTATCCTAAAGAGAAGGTTCATGACAATAAAATCTATTCAAATGGGCTGGTTCATGACAACATAATCTTTCCCTAATGAGCTGTTTCATGACAACGTTATATATCCTAAAGAGCTGGTTCATGACAATGTAATCTTTTCTACTGAGCAGGTTCATGGCAACATAATCTATTCTAATTAACTGGTTCATGACAAGGTTATCTAGTCTACTGAGTTGGTTCATGACAACATGATATATCCTAAAGAGCTGGTTCATGACATTATAATATATTCTGCTGAGCTGGTTCATGACAATGAAATCTATTCTTATGTGCTGGTTTGAGATAACATGATCTATTCTACTGAGTTGGTTCATGACAACATAATATATTCTATAGAGCAGGTTCGTGGCAACATAATATATCTTAATGAGCTGGTTCATGACGAAATAATCTATTCTACTCAGCTGGTTCATGACAACATAATCTATTCTAATGAACTGGTTCATGACAACGTAATCTATTCTACTGAGCTGGTTCATATGGACTATATTGCCAATAGCTGTTTTCATCTGTCCCTAAAGACCTGATTCATGAAAAGTTTATCTATCTGTAAGGGGCTGGTTCAAGAGTACTTCATCTATCCCAGAAGTCCTTCTCTATTAGGATTGAAAAGGCTGAAAAGAACTTTATCACCTGAACACCTTATTTATGGACCTAAGTGGATTTTTTTCTAACCCAGCTTGATTTGCTTATCAACAAACATGTCCTTGACCTTGTAATTGTGCAGACCCATTGTATCAAAGCCGGATATAGCCAGAGTAACCTAATTCTGGTACATGACAAACCATCTCACCATGGTGAACCAACACCCCTTGTATGAAGTTTCAGTGACAAAAAGTATAGAAGACAGACTGCCAAAACAAGATAGCGGACTGAAAGATGTACACAACATAAATGATATTACCCCCACACCCAGGTTCCCAGTTGGGGGGACTAAAAATGAGTAAAAGAATGTGACTTTGACCTTGATATTGAAACCTTCACCTCAGACCACACACATCTTTGTTTGAATTCAATCATCATCAATTGATGTCATAGAAAAGTGTTAAACCATTCAAAACATTATTAGTAAATACATGTACATAAACAATGATACCGTTAATTTGACTATATCCTTTGAACCTTTAACCTTGACATTAGGTCAGTAATCTTCACCAGTGATTGATAAACAGTGTGCTTTTATAACACACACCACTTAAAAGAGCCTGTCTGATTAGTCATATCTGAAACATTCAGGACACACATATAATGATACTTATTACAGCTCGATAGACAGAAATTATCTACAGTTTAAGCAAATGTTTACCTCTGGTATAGGAGCCAGGTAACTTTCCCAATGATCAGGAAATAAATGGTTTGCCCCATCCTGGTAAAACCATAACAATTCCCGCCTGAAACACGAAACATGTTACGTTTGTGATAAAAAATTAAAAAAAACAAATGCATCATATCATACCACATCAATGTGAAATAACGTTAAGTTATCATAAATAGATTGCAAGGAATTGATAGAATTGTTTTTTTCATATTCCTGATATGTGAAATATTGTACAATGTGTGAAATATAACTATAAATACATATTTTATAAACTGAAGACAGACATAAAGCTCAACCTTTTCATCCCCAATGATCATTACATAGTATAAGATTTAACTGATGTCCCATATATTTTAGTAGCAGAAGCCAGCATTGCACTATCTTAGATCTATCAGTTTTTGGGTTTTTTTTTCTTTTTTCATCTATTTAACTCCAACATATGGAGTAAGTCAAGCATGAAATGTTGATGAGATCCAGTCCCTGTAGAGATACATCAACCATGTAAGTTTGGTTGACATGCTGCAGAGAGGTTTCACAGAAGTACTCTTCAACTTGTTGAAACAAACTGAAAACTACTTTAATATTTAAGGAATATCCATACCGGTAAATAATCTATATTGTTACACTCAGTACCATATCTATATATTGTACATGTTTTACAATTTCTCTGTAATTTAAACCTCAATTATCAAACCATGAAATGCATCTTCTCATTATCATATAAAACTTTTGTTGATGTTATTTCTATTGAAACTTCTACTTTCTGCAGCGAATATAAATATGATCTAAAATCCATATCTCAAGCAATAAATGAATAGTTACCTGCGTAGATTGAAAATTCCTCGGAGGACAAGTGCCTTCACACGATCTGGGTGTGTTTCAGCATATGTTAAAGACAGCGTGGATCCCCAGCTACCTCCAAACACTACCCATTTATTAATTCCCAGGTGTTTTCTCAAATGCTCTATATCCTCGACAAGGTCCCAGGTTGTGTTTTCCTGTCAACATACAGAAGATGTTAATCTATATTTCCAGTTTACACATACATGTATATGGAGAATTTTTCAGATCACTTGGTGACAAATGTGAAATATGATTACGAACTTAACGTGAGAATAGACCAACATTGGAGTACCCTTTATGATTTTACCCACTACACATTATCTTGCTTTTCTTTTGCAATCCTGAAACATTTCAAAATGGGAATAAGATGTTTCTTAGTTTCAAAGTATTCCACATTAACATACAAATGTATAAATCACCAGAACACATTTAGTAGTCAAGGATAATTGTTAGATCTAATTGAAGTTCAATTTTCTTTTTAATATGATATACCAGTTTATTTTTGCCCTGGAACCAACTATCAAGAATTTGCCTCATATTCTTTACACCCTATGAGGATTATTCAAAATGGTTTTATACAAGTAACACTTCTTTTTTAAATTCACCCTTCTTGTTCGTGGATGAAAAGGGCAAAAATATTTAACAAGGCAAAAATATTTAACAGGGCAAAAATTACTCAGTGATCTGCAATGAACATGGTTACCAGGGAGGTCAACACCACAGCAAGGTCACAATTTAAGGTCAACACCACAGCAAGGTCACAATTTAAGGTCAACACCAAAGCAAGGTCACAATTTGAGGTCAAAACCACAGCAAGGTCACAATTTGAGGTCAACATCACAGCAAGATCACATGTTTAGGTCAACAGCTTTATGGTCAGCACCATTCAAGTTATAGCAATATAGCTAGATGTAATGAGGTCAGATCACATGTCATACGATTAACTCACAATTAGAGGTAAACACCACAGCTAGGTCATAGAGAGGTGTCAAGACAGCTACATGTAGGTCATAGATATGGGTCAACACCACAGCTAGGACATCATCACATACAGTGATTAAGAGTTGGTGGGCCACATTTATGAAGCTATGATGACAGTTTGAAGCTGAATAGAAAACTAGGTTTTCAGATGATTTGACCTGATGTACTAAAAACTAATCTATGAAGACTTCTTAATGTACATATATGTTAAAGTAAAACCAAATAAAAGGCATGATTGATTTTCAATTGTATGTTTGTTTTAACAAGCACGCCTAAGTCCAATTAAAACCTGAAATTTCATATCTATCGAGTAATTTATCTTAAGTTAGTGAATGATTTTAATTAAAACATTTATTGAAATAATTAATTTCAATACCCTTTTGTTATTTTAAGACCGTTAAGTGCACCGTGATTATTTTGCTGTATTAAAGGTGACACCAAAATAACTGCCGATGCTGCCAGAGTGTTATAAAAGTATCATAAAAAACCAAAACGTGCTATTTTACACAAATTTGGCGAGTTTGGTAAGTAAATTGAGTTTTTAAAAAATGCTGTTCTTCGGTCGATCTTGCGAAACACAAAGGCCTTGACTGAGTTATCGCCCTTATCCGTGACGTCATATGTGACAAACGCTCTCGTTGCAAAAAAAAATCCGCGCTATCTGCCATGCTTATTGGTGTGCTGCTAGCAGTGGAGGGAATGCAGAACTTGTACGACAAAAATGGACAAGTATCCTGAACCATGTCACTAATATTCACGAGGGGCATGGAGATCTTTTCCATCCATGTGAGCATGGGGACATCTCACACCAGGTAATTATATGATACTAATTGAGATTATAGATAATAAGATTTTTATGGTAGGAGTCCAGTGTTAATAAGATATTTACCATTATCATATGAAGAATTTGTAATACTTTTCAAATAACATGCTTTTTTTCTAATTATACATATTACTCACTAAGTATTTTTACTTCTGTCCTTTTGTTTCAGGAAGCAAAATATTCCGGGAAATGGAAAAGATTTTATGTGGGAAACTCCTGTTGAAAGATGTTGGAAAGTTGTCCCCAGCACATCAGACATCATGCTTGGAATCCTTCCACAATGTGGTGAACTTTTTTGCACCAAAGGCCAGCCATTTCTTTTACAATCAGATGAAAGCAAGGTGAGATATACTCATAAAAATCTGATGCAGTGCTGATAAAAATGAAACATCAGAAATACATCACTATGGTCCTGATATGATACCGTATTTATCCTGCAATAAGCCTAGGGGCCAGTGTCTAATATTAGATCAACAGATGGGGGCGGGGAGGGGGGCTTATTGCAGGGATATAGTTTGTATAGGACAGTGAATTTGAAATCTAAGAAAAAGACATGGATGGGCTTATTACTAGGCGTGGGCTTATTGCCTGATAAATACAGTACCATAATGAATACATTCACAAGATATGGTACCTTATTGAATACTGTTCATTTACAATTCTGCACAGACTGGACTATCTATTTGTTTAACACAGACTGTACTACCATTTTTCAGACTTTGACTGGCAGCTCTTCATTTCAACTCAAATACTTGTAGACCACAAGCAACTCTGGAGGATGGGACTGCCAGATACAGAATTGCTTTCCCAAAAGGAAGAAAAGGGGATGCTGTCCCAAAGGAGATTAAAGTCAAACAGAACTTCAGTATGTTTATTTTATTTACCTGCATTGATATTTTAACAAAAAAATTAATGAGAGATTTTAAATATAAAAGTATATTAATATCATCCATTTTATTGACGTAAATCATTTTCACTGTTTTATTTTAGATAAATCTAAACAATGTTTAGAGAAACTTACTGGTATTCTATAACATACCAACATAACTACCTGGTATAACAAATTAGATGGCAATAACAAGACACTTCAATATGACTGTGACCATTCAAGTTATAGTTTTTATTGTTCTTGTTCTGCCTTAAACTGTTAATGTCAACTTGTCAACAGATTACATCAAAGAGTTGATGGAGGAGGTTGTAGTCAGAAGGCTACAATTCACAACCATCCAACAGGCTGAAACAGCTCTTTTTGAGGAAATGGATGCTCCCCCTCCTTCCATTGCAAGTCAACTCCGCAGTGCCATGGGGAATTTTGACAGAGATGTTATCATCCATAACCATTGTCAGAGATTTACGAGCTATGTCAGAAACGAGGGTACTTGAAACCAGTATATTGTTGTGATGGAAATTGTTTCCGTATCATAGTCACAGCACATGATGGTATGACCTGTCGATTTTTTTCCCCTAGAACTTTCCTTGTCCATCTGATGAAGCGACGATATGCTACAAGCCGATACTTCCTGAAGTGACAAAAATTTCTTAAGTTTGAAGACACTGGTACATGTAGGCATATATACAAGTATTTGCAGTGTAATTTAAGTGCTACAAAATGGACTTTGGTCAAAATTTATTGCTAATCCATTAATGAAATATAGGAATTAATTATTTAGTTAGGTATGCAATGTAGGGGTTTAATTAGTAATAGAGGGTACCAATGTTGTATATAACCTGTAAGACAAAGATGTTCATTTAAATTGTCATTTACATTATATACCTGTGAATGTCTTCTTGTCTTCCTGGGCCGTGTGTTTCAGCATATTCATAATAGGGTGTTTCCAGGACATGCATGTTTAGACAATTCGCAATAAACCCTTCATGTTGGATGAAACAGCCGATGTCGGTCAACTTTTCTTCTAATATGCTCATGTCCTGACAGCATTTTCTTTCGTCCTCAGTGGACATATGGGAACACATGTTACAGGAACACCTGAAACGAAATGTATAGATTTATAGTGTAATATATTGTAAGATATCTTGAAAATGTTATTAAAGAACAAATTGTACATAAAGTAAAAAGTTATTATGCAGCCATCCATTGACTTTTTATTTATCATAATGCATTTGAGGTACTATAATGTTCTGATTAATAAATATAATCGTAAAATAATGAGCATGTGTCATGTTTCTGCTGGAAAGTACATCGTTCACGTACTAAAATACTTGCAGGAAAGAGGTAAAATGTACAAACAGAAGAGTCAAAGTGAATGAAAATGTACACAACAGGAGAACGTAAACTGTTTGAAAAATTATATCAATACAAACTAATGAAGAAAAACAAATGATTTCATAAACATATTGATTTCATGACAATGTTAATGATCAGTAGACCTGTTGGTATATGAACAATAAACGGAAGAATGCCTTGCTTACCGGCGGATAAAGCGGTAAACAAATACGTATTTTTTTCCGCTTTTGTTTTGACGATAGAAAATTTTTTAAAAAATTGAATAGTTTATAGATGACATACAATTATCGAAATCTGAACAACAATAAAGTCGTGTAGTTGCAATGAAAACTAACCATTCTCCGACAGGTTGATCGGAAACCATGCTATCTTCGTCATCCTCGTCACCTCTTATATGCAGTTCCTCGGAACAATCTGACGAATCTGAGTCGATGTGATCGTCATTGTTCGATGTCTCAGTTTCATACATATGGATGGATACATAGCGTGAATGAAACCTCTGGGATATCGTCACTGTCGCTACAATCGGAGTTATATACGTGCGCCATAATCAAGTTTCGTTGGATCGGCGATTGTCACTTATGACGTCACAGCGGTTTCGAATTCACGGACGATAACTCAGGCAAGATTCTTTGATACGATTTCAACCGAACATTTATTATGTCAACATTTCGAGATAAACGATACACATATAACCTTTGAAAGTTATAAATATATTAAATTTAATAACCAGGGAACGTCATAAATAAGGAAATTTACAAAAACAAAAGTGCATTTCGTTCACCTTTAAGCTTTTGTCACTGTCAACCACGAGTTCCTACTGCTTTCTTCAAGATGTTCCATTTATACTTTGTAATACAATGCACAGATCATACATCAAATACAAACTACATATACATTGTGTAGTACAGAGGTCTAGAGAGTGTAAAGTGTACATATACATTGTGTAGTACAGAGGTCTAGAGAGTGTACAGTGTACATATACATTGTGTAGTACAGAGGTCTAGTACAGAGACCTAGAGAGTGTACATTGTAGCTGTACAGTGTACATATACAATGTGTAGTACAGAGGCTTAGAGAGTGTACATTTTAGCTACACAGTGTACATATACATTGTGTAGTACAGTGGACTAGAGAGTGTACATTGTAGTTGTACAGTGTACATATACATTGTGTATTACAGAGGCCTAGAGTGTGTACATTGTAACTGTACAGTGTACATATACATTGTGTAGTACAGAGGACTAGAGAGTGTACAATGTTGCTGTACAGTGTACATATACATTGTGTAGTACAGAGTTCTATAGAGTATACAGTGTACATATACATTGTGTATTAGGGAGGCCTAGAGTGTGTACATTGTAGCTGTACAGTGTACATATACAATGTGTAGTACAGAGGCCTAGAGAGTGTACAGTGTAACTCCACAGTGTATATGTATGTTGTGGCCTTACAAATGCACGGGTACAATTATATACATCTAAAAAATACCACTAAAAGTGTAGTGGTTATCAAGTTAGTTCCATACTGCAGTTGGATTAATTCACACATATATAATTGTTAACATACTCTTAATTCTGCCGAAGGTGTAGACTTTCCAGCTCCTCTCTGGTCAAAAAGAATAATTCTGTATGCTTTCGGGTCAAAATATCGTCTGTCTCGGGAAGAGGTGCCACCACCGGGGCCTCCATGACTATGAATATATATATAATCTGTATTTGCTTATTTCCAATATATCGTTCCAACATGGAAATACAAAAGGTCAAAGTACAAAGTGAAAGTAGATGTAACATCCGAGATACGTCCATTGACACACAATACTTACATGAATATAACAGGATTTCCATCGTTGTTTCCACTTTGTTCATAATAAATGTCGTGTATTTCCGATACTTTGAGTTTTCCAGAATCGAATGGTTCTATTTCTGGAAATAACCCTCTCTGTGTCGACATCGTATTATCGGTGTTGCTGCGAAATTGCCTTGTTTGATCACCAGCTGTGACACTCGGTCTCGTGAGACACTCGGTCAAAGGTTTCTGGCCGAAGCGGAGTATCGTCGAAGTCCGGCACACTTCAGATGTGGCAATATTTCGAGAAAGTCGATATCTAGATAACTTTCTAAGCAATCGGGAAGCAAGCATTAGCCCTCGTCTATGAAAAATATACATGTGGATATAATCATGTCAAGAGGTCAACCTAACGGCAACCCAGGAACGATTGGCACAGACAAGAGACAACACTCATTCGTATGGCGGTTGCAATACAAAGGGAGACAACTGATTATTACATAACCGGACTGTTCTGCTATGAAACACATCCATGTAGTATGTTTCGTATGGTATACGTGTCATAAAAGTATTTATCACTGTAGGCATAGTGTGACAAACTGAATTTTGAAGGGTGGGTTAAAGTATTTATATATCTATAAATAAATGAATAGAAGTGAATGACTTGGATCTCATATAGTTTGATATTTAAACAGTACTAAATGAAAAAAAGTATTCAAATCCAAACAACTACACTCTCTTTAACTTTGATTAGTCTACTTGTTCAAAACTCCACTCTGACTGCTGTATACAAATAAATATAGGATAATAACGAACAAGTGCAGTGTGAGCTCGGATTGGGAATTTTTATTCTAGTGTATGATTTGACATTTAATTGTTTGTGGAGTACATCGCCCATGAGCGGCCAGGTCAGAGGTCAATAACCGGTACCTCACCGAACAATGTACGGGAAGCCCGCTGCATGCAATCCAGGACAACTGGTATAAAGTGTCTTGTCCAAGGACAACATTAAAGACCGCACACAGACACGAGTAATGGGTGTCGGACTATGTAATTCACGTGAAGTCGCGTGTAAGTGAACACTTTACCGACTGACCTATCACGGCTCCTGTCATTGATTGTTATTTCAACACTGTTACATAAAACTATATATCAAAAAAGGCTTTTATTTGGTCGGAATCGTGGTCATCTTTAAATAGAATCGAGTCCGTGCCATATTGAATAAGTAAATTATCACACGGATGTCGATGTGATTTGGAATTTATTCAACGAGTTCAATAATTCTATATATCACGAACTTTTGGTGAGTGATATAACAAAGAAATTCACGAGGTTGATAAATTTCATATTACATGGACACGATTATAAGATTATCATATGACAAATATTTCTGGAATATAGGCGAAAATGTTTTTAGTTAATCTGCCTTTAAGACAAGTGTTTTTCACAACCGAGACATTCATTTTACGTTCTACAGACGTGACGTATCTATGACGTCACATTAGTGATTACACACTTGTCTTTCCCAAGAGTTCCTGTCTTCAATATTTCAAATTTATTTCATAACTTCATAATTGGTATCTAATCATTTTTTGATAAGATTTTATGTAAATAATTTGTTCATTGAGTTCTATTGAGATAAAGGTTCTATGCTAAAAGGAATGAGGGGAAGTAGGAGTTTCATATCTTGAATCTTTCGTGTACTAATTGTCAAGTGGGACGAACTTCAGCTTGTGATTCGGAAAAAGCAATACAAATGAACTGATTACAATTACAAATATTTATTTATATAACTATAAAACTCTAAATACACGGACATACTCACTTGCTCACTGAAACTCACTCCTCATATATACGTTATAAGGTATAGTCTGTAGTTCACATCTGCAGCGAAAAAAAAAAACTACAGTTCCATGGCGGCCACCAACAACGTGGCACAGCTCAATCCAGAGCCACACAATAGATACACCGGATATCCATTCACTCTAAGCAAAGCATGCCTGAACTTCCCTTTGCTATCCAGTAAAGAATAAGGTACCGTAGTGTCCAATACACTACTAACTAACTAGGGCAGAGGTACCAACAGGTGTCCTTCCTAAGAACGTTCCGCAGATTCACAGCAGCTTCATGACTCCCATGACACAAGCCTGTGTGATGAAGAAAATGTGCATCACGCCTGATCCTGACTGGTTGCTGAGTCGGCTACTGCCGTCATATGAAGCTACAATAATTAATTAAATATAACAGTTACACTCACCACGCTCAGTTACTTTCTCATCTAACAAAAATAGCCTTAGTTCAGGAAATATCCTTAATAACACCAATTATTTTATCATCATGATTAGAAAACATTATAACTAAAACAATATGTCATTAAGTATCTTATAATAGTGTGCCGGTCCAAAATATACACAAATATTACGAAATCTAAAAGTTTTTACAATATGACACATCTAGGTTTCCATACTTTTTCCGCCCGACCGCGTACGCAGTACACTTACCTATGTCTAAATGGATCGGGGCTTCCATAAATTTACATATCGAACAAATGCAATGTATAAACAATTAAAGCAGAGCACATATAATTTAGTTAGGTTTAAATTAGCTAAATATACTAGTAATGCATATATTTTTGGTATATATACTTCAAAACATTAGAAAATGTAACATATTACCCCTGCATAAACATCAAACACAATCGTCACGCATGATTGGACCGCACCGATATCTAAATGGCTTGACCGGATAAATACATTGGTATATATAAATAATACCAAAACTAAATAATGAATAGAAATATAGAAACGGCAAACTTACCACAGTCTGTATTCTGTGCTTGGTTCACATATAAAAGACCTCAAAATATCGACTCAGGTAACGGACAATACCATGTCCACCCGTATTGTCCAAGGTCTAACTCGTTCCTTCCTGTCGATACAGTTCCGCATGACGTACTTCCGTCTTATACATTAAAGATACTCACCTTAATTACAATAATCAAAATAAATATCAAATAACTACTTGCGAACGTGACACTAATAGATAATTTAATTGTTAACCACACCTTGAAAATGAAGGAAGTTCGTATTTATACTATATTTCTGTGTGAATTCAAGGTAAGAGTAGAAAGTAACAGGATTTGTATTTTGAACATATCGTTTACCACACCAACTTCCTTAGCATACCTGAGGGAAAAAATAAAGAGTTTCCTGTTACATATTTTGTCTAATCACATTTTTTTCTATAATTATGATATTTTATCACAGGCTTTTGTTGGTAATATCAACAAATTATCACCATCTCTATATTTGTTTCACCATCACAGATCAACGTTAGTACCTGTAGATTCATTTCTAAGTGAAATACTTGATATGTTTCGTCACATATCTTCTAAATGAAATTATTAAAGCAGATATTCAGCACCTACAGAAGAATTTTACATCGACAAACTAGAAAAACCTTCTGCTAATCTCAGCAAAGACATTACGAGATAGCTCATCGCCGATACCTCCGCTTCTGGTAACGACATAAAGTTCTCTCATCAATTTTCGTGCCACACTAGTGTAACTGGAGAAACACTGAAAGGAGCCGCATAATTTCATCTAGAAAATCTTAATAAGTATCATGTTGATAGAGAGAATTATTACGCCCATATCTTTATGTAGCCATCTATTTTCTCCGTCCAATATTACAAGTACAAAAATGTCTGACATATATTAATCTTATCTTTCAAATTTAATTAAACAAAAACGTAAAAGAATTTTTTTTCAGCAATCCTTCTTCTTCAATTAAAAATGATGGGGCGAGTTTAAACGCCATTTTATAACCATTGGTATGAAGTAAAGCAATGTCAGACGAAATCCCACAACCTATGTGCACGTATTCCGGGTACAATATCTAAAGATCTTTTGTCTTCGGTCGATATATTTTCTTGGGTAGATAAATCTTATTATCGACCTCACAAACAAAAGGTTAAGGTTGTAGGATACCAAAAAAAGTAATAAATCAGATTAAAATTGTTCTGAAGTTTTAATAGTTTCATGTAGACCCGATACCGATGTGTGAAGTTTTGAGAAAGAGATTTTGTTGTTCATTGAAGTTAAATGAAGGATTATACTCGTTCAGATGACAGAAACACAATGGCGAGTGACGCTGATATTTCGACATCACAAAATGACCAAATTATTTGTTTAAATAAACATATACATGAAAATAAACAAATGTGCAATTGAAAGTAACTATATATAAATATATATACATATATATATATATATCATATGTTATGGACATGTAGGCTGCTTCATGGTAGCTAGGTCACATGTTTTTGTATTTGTCCGTGGCCTCTACAAGCTGATGAAGTACACCAGCTTCCTTTGTGGAATGTCCCGCATCAGGTATTACATGGAAGTCAGCTTCTGGCCATTTCTGTTCATCAGAAAATATATTTTGAAATAAACAAAAAATACAAAATAATTTCTAAAATATAAAACCCAAACTACAGTGATGATTCAATATGTGTAATAATTAAACAGACAAATAACATTAACTTACATTACATAATCTAATATTTTATTCCTATTACGTACTATAAGAAATTATTTTTTGGTTATTTTTCTGTATGTCAGTAAAGATCTACAGCTAGGAAGCTCAAACAGTATCATCTTAATGGATCATGAATCGAACTGTGATCCTTAGTTGTTGAATCTAAATATGCATTGTATCTAAAATGAAAACGTTAGGAAATTCCTACCTTATGAAGTAACCAGGCAGTTTCCATCGGACAAACAACATCATAACGCCCTTGAATTATGGTCGCTGGAATGTGACGAATTTTCTCCACATCGTCTAAAATTTGAGTATCGGTCTTGAACCATCCTCCATGTACAAAGTAATGACTATAAAAAACGGTAAAAACAAATATAATAAGGTTGTCTTTAATAAAATCCTTCATCTAATTAACGGCCTAAAACTTCACATATATACATAACATCTAATTTAATTTATGACCTGTACATTGTTTAGATTTTCGTTTTAGGTCAATCTCACACACGTTTTACTTGATGCAAAAATACGGCATCCGTAACATAATATATCTAGTAAACACCAACAGAATCCATATTTTGTAAAACATCTAAGAATGTCAACATATATTATGATCAACAAATATTACCAAACGATTCTTATTGAGACATTTTATAGTATATATCTAAATCAATATAGATATAATGAAACATCATGCTTTATTAGCATCAGGAGCCAACTGTCATAAAATAAGAAAACGATCACCACTTTAAAGAAGCTGAAATGAAAACTTAGAGATTGATGGTCAAGCCCTGTTACCTTTCAATCCTGGCGAACTGTTGTGACCATATGTCTCCCTCAGCTCTCTTTAATAGGTCATCATCCACTAACAAGCGGGATGTGGCCATTTCCCATTTACTCCAAGCCTTGGCTGCTTTGATGCGCTTTTCTTCATCATCACTGGTCAGATGTCTATAGTAAGCACCCATTAGATCTCCTCTTTCGCCCTGGTCAGATAGAAAACATGAATCCCGTGAAAAGCTGGTTTATGAGGATATTTTTCTTTATCTGAGGAGCTGGTACAATAGGACTTTTTTCTGTTTCTGATAGGACCTTTCTCTTTCTCTAAACAGCTGGTACATAAGAATTTATTTTATCTCTCAAGAGCTGGTTCATGAGGACTTTATCTCTCAAGAGGTGGCACATAAGGATTTTTTTTCGATCACTAAAGAGCTGGTGTATGATGACTTTTTCTATATCTCAAGAGCTGGTTCATAGGTATTTTTTTCGGTTTTATAAAGCAGTCACTGGGACTTTTTCTATGAGATGGTTCATGACAATGTAATCTATTCTAATAAATTGGTTTATGACAATGAAATCTGATCATATGAGCTGGTTCATGACAACATATTATTTCCCTAATGAGCTGGGTCATGACAACATAATATATTCTATTGAGCTGGTTCATTACAATGTAATATATTCTAATAAAGTGATTCATGACAACATAACCTATTCTAATGAAATGGTTCATGACAACATGATCTATCCTAAAGAGAAGGTTCATGACAATAAAATCTATTCAAATGGGCTGGTTCATGACAACATAATCTTTCCCTAATGAGCTGTTTCATGACAACGTTATATATCCTAAAGAGCTGGTTCATGACAATGTAATCTTTTCTACTGAGCAGGTTCATGGCAACATAATCTATTCTAATTAACTGGTTCATGACAAGGTTATCTAGTCTACTGAGTTGGTTCATGACAACATGATATATCCTAAAGAGCTGGTTCATGACATTATAATATATTCTGCTGAGCTGGTTCATGACAATGAAATCTATTCTTATGTGCTGGTTTGAGATAACATGATCTATTCTACTGAGTTGGTTCATGACAACATAATATATTCTATAGAGCAGGTTCGTGGCAACATAATATATCTTAATGAGCTGGTTCATGACGAAATAATCTATTCTACTCAGCTGGTTCATGACAACATAATCTATTCTAATGAACTGGTTCATGACAACGTAATCTATTCTACTGAGCTGGTTCATATGGACTATATTGCCAATAGCTGTTTTCATTTGTCCCTAAAGACCTGATTCATGAAAAGTTTATCTATCTGTAAGGGGCTGGTTCAAGAGTACTTCATCTATCCCAGAAGTCCTTCTCTATTAGGATTGAAAAGGCTGAAAAGAACTTTATCACCTGAACACCTTATTTATGGACCTAAGTGGATTTTTTTCTAACCCAGCTTGATTTGCTTATCAACAAACATGTCCTTGACCTTGTAATTGTGCAGACCCATTGTATCAAAGCCGGATATAGCCAGAGTAACCTAATTCTGGTACATGACAAACCATCTCACCATGGTGAACCAACACCCCTTGTATGAAGTTTCAGTGACAAAAAGTATAGAAGACAGACTGCCAAAACAAGATAGCGGACTGAAAGATGTACACAACATAAATGATATTACCCCCACACCCAGGTTCCCAGTTGGGGGGACTAAAAATGAGTAAAAGAATGTGACTTTGACCTTGATATTGAAACCTTCACCTCAGACCACACACATCTTTGTTTGAATTCAATCATCATCAATTGATGTCATAGAAAAGTGTTAAACCATTCAAAACATTATTAGTAAATACATGTACATAAACAATGATACCGTTAATTTGACTATATCCTTTGAACCTTTAACCTTGACATTAGGTCAGTAATCTTCACCAGTGATTGATAAACAGTGTGCTTTTATAACACACACCACTTAAAAGAGCCTGTCTGATTAGTCATATCTGAAACATTCAGGACACACATATAATGATACTTATTACAGCTCGATAGACAGAAATTATCTACAGTTTAAGCAAATGTTTACCTCTGGTATAGGAGCCAGGTAACTTTCCCAATGATCAGGAAATAAATGGTTTGCCCCATCCTGGTAAAACCATAACAATTCCCGCCTGAAACACGAAACATGTTACGTTTGTGATAAAAAAAAGAAATGCATCATATCATACCACATCAATGTGAAATAACGTTAAGTTATCATAAATAGATTGCAAGGAATTGATAGAATTGTTTTTTTCATATTCCTGATATGTGAAATATTGTACAATGTGTGAAATATAACTATAAATACATATTTTATAAACTGAAGACAGACATAAAGCTCAACCTTTTCATCCCAAATGATCATTCCTTAGTATAAGATTTAACTGATGTCCCATATATTTTAGTAGCAGAAGCCAGCATTGCACTATCTTAGATCTATCAGTTTTTGGGTTTTTTTTTCTTTTTCATCTATTTAACTCCAACATATGGAGTAAGTCTAGCATGAAATGTTGATGAGATCCAGTCCCTGTAGAGATACATCAACCATGTAAGTTTGGTTGACATGCTGCAGAGAGGTTTCACAGAAGTACTCTTCAACTTGTTGAAACAAACTGAAAACTACTTTAATATTTAAGGAATATCCATACCGGTAAATAATCTATATTGTTACACTCAGTACCATATCTATATATTGTACATGTTTTACAATTTCTCTGTAATTTAAACCTCAATTATCAAACCATGAAATGCATCTTCTCATTATCATATAAAACTTTTGTTGATGTTATTTCTATTGAAACTTCTACTTTCTGCAGCGAATATAAATATGATCTAAAATCCATATCTCAAGCAATAAATGAATAGTTACCTGCGTAGATTGAAAATTCCTCGGAGGACAAGTGCCTTCACACGATCTGGGTGTGTTTCAGCATATGTTAAAGACAGCGTGGATCCCCAGCTACCTCCAAACACTACCCATTTATTAATTCCCAGGTGTTTTCTCAAATGCTCTATATCCTCGACAAGGTCCCAGGTTGTGTTTTCCTGTCAACATACAGAAGATGTTAATCTATATTTCCAGTTTACACATACATGTATATGGGGAATTTTTCAGATCACTTGGTGACAAATGTGAAATATGATTACGAACTTAACGTGAGAATAGACCAACATTGGAGTACCCTTTATGATTTTACCCACTACACATTATCTTGCTTTTCTTTTGCAATCCTGAAACATTTCAAAATGGGAATAAGATGTTTCTTAGTTTCAAAGTATTCCACATTAACATACAAATGTATAAATCACCAGAACACATTTAGTAGTCAAGGATAATTGTTAGATCTAATTGAAGTTCAATTTTCTTTTTAATATGATATACCAGTTTATTTTTGCCCTGGAACCAACTATCAAGAATTTGCCTCATATTCTTTACACCCTATGAGGATTATTCAAAATGGTTTTATACAAGTAACACTTCTTTTTTAAATTCACCCTTCTTGTTCGTGGATGAAAAGGGCAAAAATATTTAACAAGGCAAAAATATTTAACAGGGCAAAAATTACTCAGTGATCTGCAATGAACATGGTTACCAGGGAGGTCAACACCACAGCAAGGTCACAATTTAAGGTCAACACCACAGCAAGGTCACAATTTAAGGTCAACACCAAAGCAAGGTCACAATTTGAGGTCAAAACCACAGCAAGGTCACAATTTGAGGTCAACACCACAGTTAGGTCATAATAAGAGGTCAGCACCACAGCTAAGTCACAATTTGAGGTCAACATCACAGCAAGATCACATGTTGAGGTCAACACCACAGCTATGTCACATATTAAGGTCAACCCTACAGCTTTATGGTGACGATAGAAATCAACATCATTCAAGTTATAGAAAGAGGATAACAATATAGCTAGATGACATAATGAGGTCAGAACACTTCAGACATGTCATACGATGTAGATTCAACACCACAATTAACTCACAATTAGAGGTAAACACCACAGCCAGGTCATAGAGAGGTGTCAACACAGCTACATGTAGGTCATAGATATGGGTCAACACCACAGCTAGGACATCAACACATACAGTGATTAAGAGTTGGTGGGCCACATTTATGAAGCTATGATGACAGTTTGAAGCTAAATAGAAAACTAGGTTTTCAGATGATTTGACCTGATGTACTAAAAACTAATCTATGAAGACTTCTTAATGTACATATATGTTAAAGTAAAACCAAATAAAAGGCATGATTGATTTTCAATTGTATGTTTGTTTTAATAAGCACGCCTAAGTCCAATTAAAACCTGAAATTTCATATCTATCGAGTAATTTATCTTAAGTTCGTGAATGATTTTAATTAAAACATTTATTGAAATAATTAATTTCAATACCCTTTTGTTATTTTTAAGACCGTTAAGTGCGCCCTGAGTATTTTGCTGTATTAAGCTTTTGTCAGTGTCAACCACGAGTTCCTACTGCTTTCTTCAAGATGTTCCATTTATACTTCGTAATACAATGCACAGATCATACATCAAATACAAACTACATCTACATTGTGTAGTACAGATGCCTAGAGAGTGTACATTGTAGCTGTACAGTGTACATATACATTGTGTAGTACAGTGGTCTAGGGAGTGTACATTGTAGCTGTACAGTGTACATATACATTGTGTAGTATAGAGGCCTAGAGAGTGTACATTGTAGCTGTACAGTGTACATATACATTGTGTAGTACAGAGGTCTAGACAGTGTACAGTGTACATATACATTGTGTAGTACAGAGGTCTAGTACAGAGACCTAGAGAGTGTACATTGTAGCTGTACAGTGTACATATACAATGTGTATTAGAGAGGCCTAGAGAGTGTACATTGTAGCTGTACAGTGTACATATACATTGTGTAGTACAGAGGCCTAGAGAGAGTACATTGTAGCTGTACAGTGTACATATACATTGTGTAGTATAGAGGCCTAGAGAGTGTACATTGTAGCTGTACAGTGTACATATACATTGTGTAGTACAGAGGTCTAGAGAGTGTACAGTGTACATATACATTGTGTAGTACAGAGGTCTAGTACAGAGACCTAGAGAGTGTACATTGTAGCTGTACAGTGTACATATACAATGTGTATTAGAGAGGCCTAGAGAGTGTACATTGTAGCTGTACAGTGTACATATACATTGTGTAGTACAGAGGCCTAGAGAGAGTACATTGTAGCTGTACAGTGTACATATACATTGTGTATTACAGAGGCCTAGAGAGTGTACATTGTAGCTGTACAGTGTACATATACATTGTGTAGTACAGAGGCCTAGAGTGTATACGTTGTAGCTGTACAGTGTATATGTACATTGTGTAGTACAGAGGACTAGAGAGTGTACATTGTAGCTGTACAATGTACATATACATTGTGTAGTACAGAGGCCTAGAGTGTGTACATTGTAGCTGTACAGTGTACATATACATTGTGTAGTACAGAGGCCTACAGAGTGTACATTGTAGCTGTACAGTGTACATATACATTATGTGGTAGTGAGGCCTAGAGAGTGTACATTGTAACTCCACAGTGTATATGTATGTTGTGGCCTTACAAATGCACGGGTACAATTATATACATCTAAAAATACCACTAAAAGTGTAGTAGTTATTAAGTTGGTTCCATACTGCAGTTGGATTAATTCACACATATATAATTGTTAACATACTCTTAATTCTGCCGGAGGTGTAGACTTTCCAGCTCCTCTCTGGTCAAAAAGAATAATTCTGTATGCTTTCGGGTCAAAATATCGTCTGTCTGGGAAGAGGTGCCACCACCGGGGCCTCCATGACTATGTATATATAAAACATATATATATAATCTGTATTTGCTTATTTCCAATATATCGTTCCAACATGGAAATACAAAAGGTCAAAGTACAAAGTGAAAGTAGATGTAACATCCGAGATACGTCCATTGACACACAACACTTACATGAATATAACAGGATTTCCATCGTTGTTTCCACTTTGTTCATAATAAATGTCGT